CAATGGTGTACCTAAGATCAGACGAAGCGGGTTTTTATCACAACAGCAGTCTCTTTGGGGCCCTTCGAGATGTCGGAAGTCGTCAGGGAGTTGACATTGTGAGATAAAATTTTTCGGAACCACAGCACGGTAAGGATATTTGCGACAGGATTTGATGCCCGATGAAAGCCGAGGAACGACAGCAGGAGTATTCTGCACGAACGATAAGTTTATAACTCTGAAGTTAAAGAAGATCCCTAATTTCAGCGCACTGCACAATTTTGAGTTTACCTCCCGTGGACTTCGAATGTGGAAAGCTTTTAAAATTGGAGCTGGTAAGCTAATTGCATGGAATAACATCATATTTTGTTTACAAGAAGCTACCTGCCTCAGCGAGGATAAACTGTTTTTCGTAGTTTGAGCACGAGAGATGGATGAGACGACCGCGCACCATGGGAGAGTTGACGATGTCAGTGGCATCTTCGAATGTCCCCATCCCCAGTGCTAAAAAGAATTCCTTAGTCGTGCAGAGCTGGAAACTCATCTAAGTGTGACTGCAAATCACAGCCCAGTGAAGACGGTACAGCGGGGCGTGTACGACTAGTTACGAATCGATTGGGTTCAGTTTTTCCAGAGCATTTCACTGGATCCCAAAAGAAAGTCTCGCCTCCAGAAAGAAGTTCAAATGGAAACCACAACCGAGGTAAACTCGCTCCGAATGGGTTGGGCGCTTCAAAAACCTAAAGGCAGCCAAACACGCTTCTCTGACAAAGTTCGTGGGTACTTACAAAAAAAGTTTGATATTAGTCAAAAAACTGGGAGGAAGGAAGATCCTGCATAAGTAGCTAACGATATGCGCAATGCACTCAACACCGATGGCACACAAATGTTAAGTAGAATGGAATGGCTTTCAAAGCTTCAAATTCTGGGATTTTTTTCGCGACTCTCTGCGAAGAGAAAGCAATCAGATGGTAAGGAAACCTCCAGCGATGACGACGAGCTTGACGACGTTGAAGAGCTTGTTGAAGAGTATGCCTCGCTGACAGATGAACAAATGCTCGAGAAAGCCAGTGTAGCCGTAGAGTCTGAAATTGGTGTCAAGCATCTAGTGAGACACCAAATCAAGTTTGGTTAAGGTACTATCACTAATAGTTGAAGATTGCTCATGCATGAAAGAATCAAATTACGCAATGTAAGTTTCAAACAACTATTTTGGTAAATTGAAATTCCACAACTTTGTCAATGATGACATTTGTGACGGTTTGGATCCATTTGGATTCTGGATTATGCGTAGCAGACCTTAAGGAAGGAACAGTGGGATGAAGTGATAAAAATGTGAAGGCTTGAAAAGATTTGAATTTATTAGAGCTTTCTGAAACGCCACGACCGAGTAAGGATACTGAATAAAATATGTCCATCTTCTTTGAGATGGGGTTTGGGACTGCCTAAGGTTGTGTAAAAACAATTAATTTTTAGAAAACTCATCCGTTTACTTTCAGGTGCTGGAACTAATTGCAGGAAAAAGGAAAACCAAGTCTCGTATATTCTGTAGTCTTTGGAATTATTCTACCTGGTTGATTTACTATGTGTTCTGGCCAAATCCTAAATCGAAGACGACTATTTGGAAACTTGTGGTTTACCGACGTGGACGAAGGATCAACTGAGAAGGAATTTAAGTAACATAGACGTTGCGTGACGCATAAGTTAAGTTTCTGAGTTATCATCACTATTTTGCGACCTGACGGCGGTACACAGAAGTCTTATCGCCTTAAAAAAAATCCACCATGTTTTTTTTGGTATTGATTCAATATTTTATTTCTGGCGACTTCGTGAGGTTTCATAAATTCAGAAGAAAGGACCTTAAGATGAATTAGTGCGCGTGGTAAAACATTATTTGATTACATGTCACATATATCAATTGGAAAGGACTTCGCTCTAAATACCACGAATATGAAAACTTCGACCTTGAAACTAAGTGTTATTCTGAATAAACATGAATCTTGTCATCGCTATCCTACCTCTGAAGTTTTTTTCCCTTCCTCGTTAATTGAGTGATAAACAAAACAATAGGTCGCCTCTAAGAGTCAACTCTCGGCGGCTGTATTTCTCAGATGAAGATAGAGATTTTTCTCTACTTAATGATGTTTTATCCTATTGTGAGTCTTAAGAAAGCTTTTATGGACTCAAATCACTCGTCAAACATAAGTTGGCCGAATTAGTTCCGTTTATTTTTTAGACCGCTCCATGTGCATTGCTAGCTCGAATTTTCGAAAATGCACGCAATTTGTCGGCCGGCTATTCTAGAAGTTCGCCGAAACCACCACATGTTTTTATATTTCCATGCTCTTCTACCCTATTTTAGTCAATCTTTAGTCAGTGGAATTTTGCGCTGAGCCGAGATAAAGTTGCATATTTCCGGTCATGGCGGTATCGTCAAAGTAGGTGTCAAACAAATACTTTGCAGTGAAAAAAACAAAATTTACGTGGTTTGTTCTCATAAAGGGTTGATCTAAATATGCGAAGCAAAACAAAACCCCCGAACTAGAATTCTGTAAAAAGACGAGCTCGGCAATTTGTGCCATTTTTGATATTCGGTGTTGTTAAAAAGTAGCGTAAGAGCGCTGAAGCGATTTTCGCTCAGAAAAAAATTATTTTGCTGTATTTGCAAAACCCAAGGTGGTTTCGATTACTTTTACACTAAGGTAGATTCCTGGGCAAAGTTTGAAAGAAATCGAGTTTTCGACCCCAAACGGGTGTAAAGAGTTACTCTGGTAACAAATACATTTTTTTTCTTCTGATGTATTTCCGTGGGTTAGTCCGGATACATTTTGTGCCTCAGAATTATGGACCAATTCTACACCTTTGGAAGTTAATCAACTAAAGGAAGAACTTAACAGGCATTTTCAAGGCCTCTGATTCCGGAAAAAAAACTGTACAAGTTATTACTTTCTCACAACAATTTATACATCAAAGCGTCACGTTAGGTTAAGTCAGTGATAAAAATCGTAAGTGAGTTGTCTTAAACTCCTGAGCCAGTTTTGTACGTTTTGACTGGCCATGTAATTTAGGGCAAGATCCAAGCTGGTTGTACCAGATTTTGTAGTTTAACATAACCCTGATAGTAGTCTTAAAAGCTCGTACGTATAAATTTTGATATAATAACGCTTAAAGAACGCGATTTCTCCGTTTGAAGAACGTTTCACTAAAGATGTGGAAAACGCTGTCTCTTTCCAGTCTTTCATAAAACCGACATAAAGGAAGACAAAACGACCATGGAAAAGGGAGAGTAATTTCAGTATTAGAAGTGCCGGAGACGACGGCGTCCAGCGGCTCATCGCCAGGAACTTTATAGAATCGCAAAATGAAAGGAGGTCGAAGCGGCTCGATGAATAATGGGTCGCAAATAAGCACACAGATATTGTTCTGCAGGTCATCCATGATGAATTCTATCGCTTTATCAATGGCATCTGCTACGTCCGCAAACTTTCGAGTATACACTGGAGTTTTCCGAAATAAGTTGAGTGTTGTACGAGGAAGCTGTCTCGTCTGGAAACAGAAAAGAGAACGTAAAACAAGTACATAACTTAAGTTCCAAAAAGGCTACATCGTGACAAATATTGCTTAAAATGTTAAAATACTGGATAAATGTTTGATTGTAAATTCATTCATCGACTAGCTAATTGATTCATGAATGTCATAGTAACGGCTGACGCGAATTCCTTTGAGAGCACTTTAAATGTAAGCAGACCGAGGGAAGCATTTTCAAGTCTGAGGTAATAGTTTTTCACTTAACGGATGAATCTTGGTGAATATTTACCGTGGTGGATGTTTCTATGATTAGTCTTAAAATATTCTGTTAATCCGCAATTCTTGAGTACCAGGCTTGAGCAGTTCTAGAGTTGGCAAGCAGTAATTCCAAACGTCCTACCGCCTTCGGTCACTAGATTAAATCTCGGGTAAATAATATCTAGTAGCACCACAACTTACAAACAAAACAAAAAAATAGAATTTTTGACTTAGAAAGAGTAGGGAACACTCGATGATTAAAGACCTGTTCTATCTTTACCTCTAATACTTAAGTTTAGCCATTCTTACCCCCGCGATGAAGCCTTCCTTCATAAGCAACAACTCATCTTTTGCGATCTTTCGATTTTTCTTTTTCTCTTCGTCACACTGCCAAATGTTTTCCAGGACGTCAGCTGCTGTTTCGTACTCACCGCCAAGATCTTTTAACAGTTCCCATACTGGTATGTACCCTTCAACAGGCCCACGGTCAATCAAAGCCCAGGTTGAGTTGTAAGACAGAAGTTTCTGAAAAGTACTGATGTTTGTTGCTGTAGGCCCAATGGATCTGACAGAGAGGGTAAAGACTTCGTCACGACTTTCCTTGTACTTTCCCACATTACTACCTTTAGACGAAGTGTGCTCACCAGCAATACTTCCTCCAATATTGAAGATCCCAAGAAATCCAGCAGACATTTTCACTTTAAGATAATCCGTAGCTGCCTTCATTAGCTCGAATTTCTCTTTTGCTCCTTTGCTTTCAGCATCGGCGATGCTGAAAAACACGCCACCAAGAGTCTGAGCACCGGCCGGAAAATGACTCCCAAAACGTTTAAAGAATTCGCGAGCCATGTCTTGCTGTTGGACCTTGTCTATTTCAGTATCTTGAACAATGGATCTTGCCATTTCCCTTGCTGATTCACAAAGCTTTATTTGGTTACGTTCCAGCAAAAATGATCTTGTTGGCGTCCGGGTGTAATGAAGAACAGACGCACTGGTTGAAAATTCTTTGAAAGAATTATGAAATTGTTTCTGCTGCTCAGAACCACGAGCTCCTTGTACCTCACCAAAGAGTTAGCCCTCAAGACCAGCTATAGCGAGACCAATATTTGTATTTAAGGACTCAACAGTTCGGATATAATCTGTAGCTGCTCCTTGGGAAGAGAACTTCATATACTTCATATCCTTAGATATGCTTGGATTGGTTAATGACACATCTGTTGGTGGCA